CCAAGAGGGCAGAAGAGCCAGCCATGAGGCATGGCAGAGGGGGTGAGTGATGGCCTGATCCTCAATGAATGGTCACCTTTTTTTTTTTTTTTTTTTTTTGAGACAGAGTCTTGCTTTGTTGCCCAGGCTACAGTGAGTGCCGTGGCGTCAGCCTAGCTCACAGCAACCTCAAACTCCTGGGCTCAAACAATCCTTCTGCCTCAGGCTCAGCCTCCCGAGTAGCTGGGACTACAGGCATGCACCACCATGCCCGGCTAATTTTTTCTATATATATTAGTTGGCCAATTAATTTCTTTCTATTTATGGTAGAGATGAGGTCTCTCTCAGGCTGGTTTCGAACTCCTGACCTCGAGCAATCGGCCCACCTCGGCCTCCCAGAGTGTGGTCACCTTTCTTATTCCTGTCCCTCCTCCCTTCTTCCTACAAGAGGAGAGAGGTGTAGTGTTCTTGAGGCTCTGCTGAGGAGTAGGGAGTTAATGGACCCTACCTCCTTACTCCTAGAAAGGAAGACTGTGGGAGAAGGAACCGTTTCCACTCGAGAGAGCTTCAGGGGAAGTAATGTACTCTGAGGAAAGTGAAGTTGCCCTTACTTGAGGAAAGGGGAAAGAATGTTCTAAGAAGTTGAGGAGGAGAGAGCTCTGTGTAGTGCTCAGTGATGCCTGACATGTGGGTCGACAGTCTGCCCCCAGGCGTGCACCTCTGGAGCTATCTCAGGGAGGAGAGAGCAGGAGGGCACATTTGGGTGGGAAAAAATCACTATTGGGATTTAAGGCAAAGTGCTCTTGTGTTATGTGGAAGAGTTTTCTATAAAAAGCCTGATTCTTTCTTTGTGGGTGAGCATGGCTTCTCCGATGTCTTCCTTTGCCTTTCATATATGGTGAAAACCTCTAGATTTGAAGCACTTTAAGAATGTTTGCAACAATACTTCGTTAAGCTGGAGCATAATGGAGAAAGGGTTATGACTAATGGTGGCTAAACTTAAGGAGTTTAGCAAAAGAACCTTTGCCAGAACATTCCATAGTCAGGTGTTCTTTACCCTTTTTTGTGCCATGAATGAAGGGTATACTACAATGTAGTAAAGATTATAGGCATTTTCTCAAAATGTTTAAAAATGTATAAAATATATAAGATTATAAAGGAAATTAATTATAATAAAACAGTTCTAAATTTAAATATTTTAAAAATTGTGATATAATAATATGTGCTTCTTAATCAGATCTGAAAGCAGTTCTAATAACTGCTCTAGATGTGAAGTAGTGCTGAAAACAAGCAATACTTCAAGATATTTCCACCAGCTCAATGTGATATAAAAATATCTATAATTTCTTTTGATGACAACGTCACAGATTTCTGCTGATATTACTGTGGTTAGTTGCCTACATTCATGACTAAAAGAAATGCTGTGTTTCAGTTAGAGATTAGTGAAATAAAGATGTGATTTTTCCACCATCCAAGCTCGTGGACTCTATTGTTCTGCCGACAGGCATCTAGAGGCCCCAGGCTCGATCATCAACACTACAAAGTGTGGCAGAACTCTGGTCAGTTGAGTAGGAAACAGATCAGACTCCAGCTCTGAAAAAAGTATTCGGCAAGTCATAAATAACCATTATTCCATTCAAGTAGCAATTGCTGCTCTGTACAAAAAAATGTGATGATGTGGTGCAATAGGTTATAACTGTGGAAAATCATTTTGATGGAGTGGACACCAAGGCTGCAAAGGCTGAGGTCACCACTGAAGGGCAGGGGACACGAGGAAATCAACATGGAAACCTCGGTCGTGCAGTTAAAGGCAAGGGAAAAAAAGTTTCCTTTATTAAAAACTATTCGATTAAATAGGTGTTTTTTTCTGCTAAGAAAGGATAGGTAATATCTCTCAATGCTTTGGTTAAAAATGAATTCCACTCCACATACTTGATGCTGAGTATCTTTAGTTATCTCACCCTATGATTGTATACCCTGTCATACGTTTTCAAGCACATTTGCCTCTGTTATCTGTGAATCTAAAATAATTGCTGTGCGTTGAATGGGCACGTACTTTGTTAGTAGCAGCATGAAAACTAAGGGGTTCGCAGTTGCATCAGCAGGAAAAATAGGTATTATTTAAGACCCCTGGCTCTTAGTTCTTGGTGGTGGGCTTTCTTCTAAAGATAAACTTAGATACACAAGTGATGTGTTGACTAGGAGACACAAAGAATGCTGTAGTGGATTTAGTGAAGTGAATAATCTCCCTTAGAAATAAATGTGGGCAGTGTATCTTAGTTTTTGAAATGTAATAGGCAAGTTTCATGAGCATTTTGTAGAGAAGACTAGGTGGCTCATGCTTTCACTCATTCACAAATATATTGACCCCATTCAAGACTCCACCGCCAGCCACTGAGCAAAGTTGCCCCCGCACTCACCTCTCTTCCTTCTCCATAATATTCCCGTTCTTCCTTCCTTCTTTCTTTGTGCCAGCTGCGTCTGACCGAACACCTTCTCTCCTGCTACTCAGCACATTCCTCGCCTTCTTGAGCCCCTTTGCACTTGATTTCTTACTTCACTTCTCCTTTACTCTCTTTTTTCCCATAATTTTAAAAATTGCATTTTTATTATTTTTTAATTTTTTTTTTTTTTTTGAGACAGAGTCTCACTTTGTTGCCTAGGCTAGAGTGAGTGCTGTGGCGTCAGCCTAGCTCACAGCAACCTCAATCTCCTGGCTCAAGCAATCCTTCTGCCTCAGCCTCCCAAGTAGCTGGGACTACAGGCATGCGCCACCATGCCCGGCTAATTTTTTTATATATATATATCAGTTGGCCAATTAATTTCTTTCTATTTATAGTAGAGACGGGGTCTCGCTCTTGCTCAGGCTGGTTTTGAACTCCTGACCTTGAGCAATCCGCCCGCCTCGGCCTCCCAGAGAGCTAGGATTACAGGCATGAGCCACCACGCCCGGCCTTATTTTTTAATTTTTTTAGAGACAATGTCTCACTGGTACCCAGGCTGGTCTCAAATTTCTGGCCTCAAGTGATTTTTCCAGGTCGCTGGGATTACAGGCGAACGCCACTGTGCCCGTCATACTCTTTCTTTTTATTTCTATTTATTTATTAATTTTTTGAGACAGAGTCTCACTCTGTTGCCCAGGCTAGAGTGCCATGGAATCAGTCTAGCTCACAGCAACCTCAAACTCCTGGGCTCAGGCAATCCTCCTGCCTCAGCCTCCCAAGTAGCTGGGACTACAGGCACGTGCCACCATGCCTGGCTAATTTTTTCTATATATTTCAAGTTGTCCAGCTAATTTCTTTCTATTTTTTTAGTAGAGACGGGGTCTCACTCTTGTTTAGGCTGGTCTCAAACTCCTGAGCTCAAACGATCCGCCCACCTTGGCCTCCCAGAGTGCTAGGATTACAGGTGTGAGCCACTGTGCCCAGCCATCTTTCTTTTTAATTCTTATTGTCTAACTCATCAGGAAGAAGATGATACCTCATGTCCCCTTTGCCTTCTTTCTAGTCCCGAATTTTCCTGTCCCAACTCTGTCTTTTAATGAGGAAAAAAAATAGTCCACATAACTTTGCCCGAAACTATCTGTCTCCTAATTCTGAAAACAAAACAAAAAATTAACTGGGAAAATGGAGACACAGAGCACACATATCCATTTTTCCTCTGGCTGACCAGTGGTTTTTTTCCTCAGGTGAATCCAAGAGCACAACCTAGGCACATAATTGCAAAGTTTGGCTGATGTGTAGCAGAGATTGACAGTGGTTTCAAACAGTGACTCTTGTTTCTTTGTTATCTTTTCTCAACGTTTTAAGTATATAGTCAAAACGATTCAGAAAGCATATTTCTTGTATTACTACATTTGTTAAAGGATTTGGAGCACTGCAGCAAGGAGGCACACTCATGGCAAGAAGTGATGGCTAGTGGCGTCACTGTGTTGTTACCTCTCCCACTTAGGTTGTGACCACCTCCGCTACTACATTCCTAGCAGTTGTAGTAGAAATAATCACTAATGTTTATGTTTATTGAGCTCTTACTGTATGGTAGATACTATGCTAAAGCTTTTGTATGGATTATTTTATTAATCCTCACAAAACTCCAAGAGGTTATGATCTATTTTACAGGTAAGGAAATTGAGACTCTGAGTAGTTCTAATGGAGAGGTTAAAAATCATTTGCCCGGGTTGGACATGGTGGCTCACGCCTATAACCCTAGTACTTTGGGAGGCCAGGGTGGGAGGATAGCTTGAGGCCCAGAGTTTGAGACCAGCCTGAGCAACATAGAGAGACCCTGTCTCTACAAAAAATAGAAAAATTAGCTGGGTGTGGTGGTGTGTGCCTATAGTCCTAGCTACTTAGGAGGCTGAGACAGGGGTATCCCTCAAGCCCAGGAGTTGGAGGTTGCAGTGAGCTATGATGCCACCACTGCATTCTAGCCTGGGCAACAGAGCGAGACCTTATCTCAAAAAAAAAAAAAAAAATCACTTGTCCAAGATTACGTAAGCTATTAAATATCATATACCTTTATGCTGCATTGTCTCTTACTAATAAGAAGCTGAAAAAACAAAACAAGCCGTGGAAATTTCCTGGAGCCACTCAGGGCAGGGCAGGTAGCTCCGTACCCTCAGAAGATTGCTCTTGATAGGAGTCAGTCTTAGACATAAGTAGTGTTATAATTCGATTTTTCCTATCTAAGAAGTCAGTGGATTATGAAATACATTTTAAGAATTGAATTCCATCTAGAAAGTTCTGTTTCCTTGATTGGTAAAAGTTAATTATCTGGGAAATTTGTTAATTTAGAACAGCTCATTGCTAGACAAAGGTGATATCATATAATGTTAGCAAACTAATTTGTGTTTATGTTCAAAAGATAGTGAATTTAAAAATGTGCTAGGTTAAGTTCCCTTATTTTGTTGACATGAAATATAAGAATGGGTTGTAAAGTTATTCTCAAAGAAACTGCTATTCAAATACATTTTTTACTTTTGTGTGTTTGTGTTTCTTATTCACTGGGGGCTGTTCCTATAGCTAAGAAGAAATTTTCCAACTTGCCTGTCTTCGTGGAAAATTCCTCCTCATGTCCTAAAATCTTCCCAGTCAGAAGCTCTAGTTGATATGACAAATAATGAGCTGCCATTTGCCCCACTGCAAACATTTACAGATGAGCAAATAACGATAAAGAACTCAGGTAAGTAAATTTCTCAGTCTTCACTTCCTCCTCTGGTCACAAGTTGGCTGTACAATATGAAATTGTGTATAACATGATTGGGCAATGTGGTCATCTAAGTTTGTGAATAAAGAGGTTTTTTTTTTTTTTGAGCGGGGAGTAATACTTATCCAAGATTTAAAAATCAACAGAATAAAAGGCTAAAAGTGAAGTCTCTCCTACTCCTATTCCCTGATTTCCCAGTTCCCTGAAGTCAACTTGTTTCCAGTTTCTTATATAGCCTTGCTGAGTTAGAAGTAAATATATTATCCTTTGGTTTTTTTTTAAATAGTGGGGTTTTAATATTTTATGTGGAATTTAGAATTTACCTTTATCTATTAATATAAAATACCTGTGATTGAAATGGGGAGCCTAATCAAGAAGCAGAAACCACATGCCACTAAAGCTTAAAGCAGTTTGCATTCATTTATTTGCAGATACAGATATGTGTGTGTACATAAAATCATAATATACTTAAAAATATCAATATAAAAATGTTGGTCTTATAGAATATGGATGGTAAGCATATTCATTTTCTATTGCTGGGCATCAAATTACCACAAACTTAATGGGTTAAAACAATACCCACTTAGCAGCTCACGGTTCTATAGGTCGGAGGTCCAGGCATGATGAGTCCAGGCTCAGGGTCTCAGAAGGGTAAAGGGTCACTTGGGCTGCCTTTTTATCCGAAACTCAGAGCCCTTTCAAGCTCACAGGGTTGTGTCAGAATTCAGTTCCTTGCAATTGTAGGACTGAGGTCCCTGTTTCCCAGCTGGCTGTCAGCCAGAGGTTGCTCATAGCTTCTGGAGGCCTCTGTATTTCTTGCCATGTGTCTCCTTCTGTCTTCAAAACCAGTAACTCTCCCTTGCATCAAATCCTTCTCATACTTAAAACCTGTTTCAGCTGATGGGAGCCCCATCTTTTTTAAGGGTTCACCTGATTTGTGTCAGGCCCACCAACTATCCTCTCTTTCTCATATATATAAAATAGTATCCTTCACAGCAGCACTTAGATTCATGTTTCATTGAACAAACTGAAAGAATACATACAGACACCAAGGGCTGGGAATCTTGGTGCCGTCTTAGAATTCTGCCTATAGAATGAGTTTGGTAGCCTGTAGTTCCAGCTACTCGGGAGGCTGAGGCAGAAGGATCCCTGGAGGCCAGAATTTTGAGGCTGCAGTATGCTATGATGGTGCCTGTGAATAGCCTCTGCACTCCAGCCTAGGCAACATAGCAAGATCCCATCTCAAAACAAAAATTTTTTTAAGAATTCTGACAACCAAATAAGTAGACTCCTTTTCCTTTGCTCCCTCAACTTTTCAATATGGTCTTTGAGGGAAGTGAGTTTGGGATGAATAAGGAAGAAACAGGGTGAGTTTGGGGTGGTTAAGGAAGAAATGGGGTAAGTTTGGGGTGGTTAAGGAAGAAACAGGATAAGTGATCAAATATTTTATATAAATCAAAAGAATTTGCTTAGAGTATCTTGATTCTCTGTCTTTAGTCACTCATATCTATTTATTTAGTACCTCCTTGTCTAAGCACAGAAACAAGAAAGAGGGGCAAGATAAAAATCACTGCCTTTAAGGAACTCATAGTCTAGTGGCAAAGACAGTCAAATAAAAGAAATAATTTCAGAATAATATGGTAAATGTCATGCAGGCATTTGGGGAGCAAAGCAGAGATCACCTAAAATAAGCTGGTGTGGCAGGAAGTGGGCAAGGAAGCAGTCAGGAAAGGCTTCCCAGAGAGGTGGTTCTTCGGCTGTACCTTGGAGGATAAAGAGCGGTTGGCCAGCTGGACAAGGGGCAGAAAGCCATTCTAGACAGAGGGAATCGCTGTGGGAAACAAAGGAACCCTGGAGCAAGCCAGCATGCACTGAGCTCTCCGTGTAGCCCAGTGGCTTCTCTGCACATGTGCAGCACTTGGTGTTATGATGCTGGGAAAGTTAAGAAGGTGCTTTCATCAAAATGAATTCCAGGTGCATCCAAGACTTAAAAGGTCTGGAACAGTGATTTCCAACTGGGGGCAATTTTTGCCCCCGGAGGACATTTGGCAATATCTAAAGACACTCTTGGTTGCCACAACTTGGGAGTGGGAGGTACTACCGGTAGCTAGAGGGGCAGAGGCCAGGGATGCTGCTAAACATCCTATAATGCCCCTACAGTGAAGACTTAACCTGCCCCCAAATGTCAACAGTGCTAAGGTAGAGAAACCCTGTTCTATATGACCATGCAGCTGTTAAAAGGACCAAAATAGATGAGATGTGCTGTCATAAAAAGATCATTAAGATATAAGTGGGAGCAAAGCAAGGCACAGTTAAATGTGCCTCTTATGCTTCCTATGTGTAAAAAATACATATAAAATATATATGTCTATATAGATAAATATAGATGTTTTTCAAAGAAAAGTTTTCAGAAAGAATACATCATAAACTTAAAATTAGTTGCCTTTGAATAGAGGGACTAGGGGACAGGGAGCATGGCTTTCGTTTTTTGTTTTGTGCTTTCTGTGTTTGTTTTTGTATCATATACATGAATTATTTATGTTTTAATGTCATCAAGGATTACAAAGGGGATGAGGAATTATACATGTGAGTGTTAATAAAAACTTCATAGATTATATTTTAAAATAATAAGAAGAGCACCTGTATATATTTTAACTTATTAGTTAAAAAGTAAAATTTTGTCAGCAAACTCTTAATGAACTAATTATAATTTTTATTAATTTGACTGCCACTTAAACATAGACTGATCAGTAATTCTTTTTCCCGCAGTTAAAAAATTTGCACAGGAACAAATTGCTCCTTTGGTTTCAACCATGGATGAAAATTCGAAAATGGAGAAATCAATAATACAAGGATTATTTCAACAAGGGGTATAGTTTATAATTCTTCAAATTTCAAGCTTTTATAAATACATTGCAGTGTTTATATGTATGCATATTTTTAAATTTAGGGACTGTAATGATACCATAATGAACTCTTCCTTTCCTTGTCAAAATTATGTGTTCTTTTATAGATTGAGGTCCTATTTGATGATTATATACTTAGAAATTTTTAACAATGGAATTAACATTTAAAATTAGAAATACTGTGCTTTTTAAGGAAAAGTTTGGAAGTGAGACAGTGATCTATTTCTTTAGATCAGCGGTTCTCAACCAGGGCCAATTTTGCCATCTAGGGAACGTCTGGCAATGCCAGAGACATTTTTGGCGGTCATGGCCGGGTCGCGCCACTGGCATCTGGTGAGGCAGAGGCAAGGGGTGCTGCTAAACGCCCTACAGCGCACAGCACGGCGGCCACAGCAGAGTGGCATGCAGATCAATCACATAGTTAAGCAACCCTACTTTTTTAAAAAAAAACTTTTTTCTGGCCAGGCGCGGTAGCTCACGCCTGTAATCCTAGCACTCTGGGAGGCCGCAGCAGGAGGATCACTCAAGGTCAGGATTTCAAAACCAGCCTGAGCAAGAGCGAGACCCGATCTCCACTAAAAATAGAAAGAAATTAATTGGCCAACTAAAAATATACAGAAAAAATTAGCCGGGCATGGTGGCGCATGCCTGTAGTCCCAGCTACTCGGGAGGCTGAGGCAAAAGGATCGTTTGAGCCCAGGAGTTCGAGGTTGCTGTGAGCTAGGCTGATGCCATGGCACTCACTCTAGCCTGGGCAACAGAGTGAGACTCTGTCTCAAAAAAAAAAAAAAAAACCAACTTATTTATTTATTTATTTATTTTTTATCTTTTATTTTGCTGCTAAACATCCTATAATGCACTAAAGATTTTTTCTCTTTTGAATTTTTTATTTGTGTATATTCATGGGGTACAAGTGCAAGTTTGCTACACTGACAGTTGCACTGTGATGAAGTCAGGGTCTTTGGTGCATCCATCACTGGAGCAGCACTCATTGTACCCAGGAAGCCACCTCCCATCATCCGCCCTCCTCCCCAGCCACACCCCTCCGAGTCTCCACTGTCCATCGTTCCACACTCTGCTTCCACGTGCACATGTTACTTAGCTCCCACTTCTGAGTGAGAACATGCAGTATTTGTCTGTGTCTGAGTTGTTTTACTTAAGATAACGGCCTCCAGTTCCATCCATGTTGCTCCAAAAGGCATGATTTGCTTCTTTTTATGGCCAAATAGTACTCCATTGTGTATATGCACCCCATTTTCTTTATCCAGTCCTCTGCTGTTGGATAGAACTGCTCTGGCTATGGTATCTGCAAGTGGGCTTCCTGGAGACTATTTTAAAAATCAGAATGGCAGTGGTTAGGCAGCCTAGCTTTGAGAAGGCTCTCGAAGGCTCTTGGTGAGATGAGGCCCGCAGGCACCAGACACACGCCCTCCCGACCGCCAAGATGCCCAAGAGGAAGCTCAGCTCGGCTGAAGGCACCATGAAGGAAGAGCCCAAGAGGAGGTTGGTGCTGTTGTCAGCTAAACCTGCTCCTGCAAAGGTAGAAACGAAGCCAAAAAAGCCTGCAGCAAAGGATAATCTTCAGACAAAAAAGTACAACCATAAGGGAAGAGGGGAGCAAAGCGAAAACAGGCCAATGTGGCTAACCAAGAAACTAAAGAAGATTGACCCACAGGAAATGGAGAAACAAAGACTGAGGAGAGTCCAGCCTCTGCTGAAGCTGGAGAGAGAAGCCAGGTTGGATTAATATTGCACACCATGTCTCATCAGTGGTCCCTGTCGCTCTTCTGATGCAATCCAAAGGAATATCTTTATCATGTAGTTTGTAAAAGCAAGTTTTTTAGTAGCTCTAAATATGTTGTTAAGGAGGGAATCCCACCTCATCCCATTTTTTAAAGTGTAAATGCTTTTTTTTAAAAGGTGAAATCATTCTCTGGTTGTTTATTTTTTGGTACAACTAGAAAATAGTGTGGGATATTAAATTATGGGAGGCTTTGGCTGTGTGAGCTTAACATTCCATAGACGGGGGTTGGTTTTTATATCCTATGATCCAGAGCATACTAAATGGCAGTGTGGAGTCCCAGGCCTGCATTTAATGTCTTGAACATTTTAAATTACTTCTATTCCCATGTTGGTTTTTAGTAGACTTGTTTCCGAAAGAAAATCACTGCTTGATCATGGCTCTCCCTGTCAGAGTTGCGTACACTCTGTAACATCTTTGGTTGTGGTAGTCCTGTTTTCCTAGTAACTTTGTTAATGTGCTGTGAAAGATGGAAAATTTGAGTATGATAATAAATTGTGAATTGGTAGGACTTACGTAACAGCTTATCAACATTGGAAGATGCTGGTACTTGATATCCTCTTAAGGAAAATTTGCCTCCAAATTTTTAGCTGGAAAGTCACTAGAATACTGTTTTAAAAAACTGAAAATAAATGGCTTTTTAGATTTTTGATATATATGTTAAGAATTGTGTACAAATTGAAATGTCTGTACTGATCCTCAACCCATAAAATCTCAATTACAAAAGAATATTTTGAAGCACAAAAAAAAATTAAAATAAAAATCACTGCACCCACTCATCATTTCTCCCTTCTCCATAGGTTTGAAGTGACATATATTTTTTATCTCAAATACTAAGGACATCCCAGAACTAGTGGCTGCTATGCAAAGCCATTGGCCTAAATCTTGTCTGTCATCCTGTTTGAAAAATAACCTTTGCCACTTAGATAGTTTCATTTTTTTCCTGTTTTAAAGTGACCAGCGTTTTTATACCGTATATAGTGGTGATTTTCCCAACTTTCTTTTAGTGAAACTCTTGGGAAAACAGAATCTTAAGTGGAGCCCCAGCAGGTCAAACAAAAGTTCAATATGTAACTCTCTGTGAGTTCTTTTCTTGGACAGGTTTTATTTTCTCTATTTGTAGACCCTCTAGGCTTCTCTGAGAAGTTTCTGATTTCACCGTGTGAAATACCTCCTGAGAGGTAGTTCTTGCAGTCCAGGCTGTCTGCCCACCCCTGCTACGCACCTCCGCAAACTGCTCCTGTGTAGATGCGGCCTCACCTGCCTCCTTCTCCTGTCAACCCAGCTCTTTGGTCACCTGCCGTAGTAGCTAGCAAAAACAGTATTTCCACTTTGGGAGAAATTAATAACTTTTTTAGAGAAGCGTTGTCTCTGACATCTGTTGAAGACTTACAACCAGACAGTTAGGTACCCTCCTCAGTCTTGAGGCACACCCAGGTCCTTCAGTTCTTCCTCAGAGAACATCATTTCTGTTCTCTCACCGTCTCAGTCATCATCCCCTTTTGTGGTTCCACCTTCATTACAGCTAAGTTTTCCTTCAGCTTAAAACATAAGAGCCACAGGCCTGGCTGCAGCATGCTGTTATTCCAAGAGTGTCTGGAAAGACTAGGAACGTTATCCTGTTGTCTGTTAACAGCTGTGGGTCTTGAATTACCTGCACACACATTCTCTTTCTGAAATGGAGAGTACTGTGGGAGTTTCAGTAGAGACTGAACAGTCAGAATTGTTGGAAAGCCTTGGCCAGCATTTGATTGTGTTTACCAGGTACCTGTGCTTTGTGTAGTGTGGCTCTAGCAAACTCCACCAAATGTTGTCTGTTAACCACCCCGAACCAGCTAAAATGGCCCCAAAGCAATGGTCATTCAATTATTATCTAGGCTAAAAAAGTCAGGGTGGAAGAGCCTGAATAGAAGAGATTATGCCAAATGAAACTGTAGATATTTCCACGGAGGGGGAGGTTGTTTTATTCTGTTTCCTTAGTACACTGAAACCAGTATAGAGGGGACCATGTTGAAAAACCAAAACCCCACCTACAGTCGTTAAGCAGGCAACAACAGTTCTTAGCAAGGAAGGTCATCAGAGTCTATTTTTGTTATATATTTTCTCATTCTGTTTGGTTGTTCTTCAAAGCATTTCACCTCTCTTATTTTCATTTCTTGGATCCCAAAAGGAAACAAATGATAGCGTGTAATTTAATTCTTTTCAAATATATATGGTTTCTGTTACAGATTGTTTTGTTACGTATAGCAAAATACCCATACCAAATTAAAATAAAATAATACATACGAAATTTTAAAGTTGAGAATATATATGATTACTGTTAATTTTTTAATTTGTTCTTACAAGAAATTTCCCCATATAAAATAGCTTTCTTAATCTTTTTCCTTGTTTTTCCTTTAGCTGATGGGTATTGAAATTGACCCAAAATATGGAGGTACAGGAGCCTCGTTTTTCTCCTCTATCCTAGTGATAGAGGAATTAGCCAAAGTGGATGCATCGGTGGCTCTCCTTTGTGACCTCCAAAACACTGTAATTAACAAGATGATTGCAAAACATGGAACAGAAGAACAGAAGGCCACCTATTTACCCATTCTGGCTTCAGAAAAAGTGAGTTGAGACAAGTTGTGGAAATGAATCTGATCTTTTCTAAGTTTACAGTATTTTCAGGAGAAAGGTAGCTACATTGTTGACTCAATTATCCAGGACCATAATGCAACACCATTAATTAATCAGGCAATGCTCAATAAATTAATGCTACTAGAAAAATACACTCTGACTCTCATTTGCCACTTGGAAATTTAGAGAATAATAATTTAGACGATAAAATTATTTCTTTTCTGTTCCAATTATTTTTTCTAGTACCTGTTGATGGTTTCATTTACATCAAGATATCTTATAGTAATTATTAGAATCAATTTAAGTAAACTTCATTATGTATTCTTAAGTCTTTAAATTTATCTTGGACAAATTCTAGCATATATTTTGGAAAATAATACTGTCAGAATAACATTACAATTTTGATAAATACTTAAAAAGTAGCTAAAGGTTTGACTTACAAATGTCCATTTTGCCATAAGTATTTGTTATACAAGGTATAAATGCAGTTATTAATTTATTTATTTTTTCTTTATCTCTCTGTCATCTACAGATAGGAAGTTTCTGCCTTTCAGAGGCTGGAGCAGGTAGCGACTCATTCTCTTTGAAGACAAGAGCTGATAAAAAGGGAAATTATTATGTCATCAATGGATCCAAGATGTGGATTAGCAGTGCTACGTATGCAGGTCTCTTCCTGGTGATGGCGAATGTAGACCCTAGCGCTGTAAGTTTGAAAACAAAATTTCTTTCCCTTTATCCCTCATCCCTCCTCTTTCTTTTTCTTTTCCTCCTTTCATTTCCTTTTTAGGATTTAGTCTTAAATTATTCCTTCTCCTCAATACTGAAAATGTTAGACTTGAACTGGCATCTTTTTACTCTCTTACTTATTAATGTAAAATAAATATTACTGACAAAATTATTAATTACAATTGGCCTTCCGTATTTGTGGGTTTCACATCCATAGATTCAACCAACCACAGATTGAAAAAATTCAGAAAAATATTTCACAAATTTCCAAAAAGCCAAACTTTTTGGAAATTTTTGGAAGTGCCAAGTACTACAGTGAATCCACAAGAATAAAGAGATGTGTAGGCATTGTATTAGTAATCTAGCAGTGATTTGAAGTATACAGCAACATGTGCATGGGTTACAGCAAATACTACTCCATTTTTTATTAGGGACTTGAGCCTCTATGGATTTTGGTATCCACAGGGGTCCTGGTACCAGTCTCCCCAGATACCCAGGCATGACTATACATGGAGGATCCTTTATTGATTATCTCATAATATAAAGGAAGCTAATCTTTAATTTTGTAGCATTTCAAATTTTTTATTTAATAATGAAAAGTTAAGTACCTATTTAGTACATTTATTTTAAGAATATTTTGTTCAGTTGGAAAATAAACATATCAAAATGGTAAATAAAATGGTAAATTTTCTCTTTCATCTTTTTGCTAATATAACATTTAATTGAATTTAATTGTTATTATAACATTTAATTGAATTTAATTGTTAAAACTTTAAAGTATATAATAAAATTAAATTTAAAATATAGAATTCTCATGATCATAGTGTAACAGTTATTTTAATATCCATAGTGGTTTCTTAAGCAATTCTGAGTCCATTACTATTTACTACTAACATCCATTTTTAGTTTGCTTTTTACTTTGAACTCTTTAGAAACAAGGGATTATATAAATCCAAGTGGTAATAGCATTTGAAATCTTTTTAGGGCTATAAAGGAATTACCTGCTTCTTAGTAGATCGTGATACTGAAGGCCTTCATGTAGGGAAAACGGAAAACAAACTGGGGATTAGAGCTTCTTCCACATGCCCGTTAACGTTTGAAGATGTCAAGGTGGGTATCTTAGAATATTCAATAAAAGACCGATGTAGAATAAGCTTTGTATCGTAGGAGGTGTGCATGAAAGGTGTGAAAATATCAAGTGGCTATAAGAGTATTTTTTTTGGAGACAGAGTCTCACTCTGTTGCCCCAGCTACAGCGCTGTGACGTCACCCTAGCTCACAGCAACCTCAAACTCCTGGGCTCAAGCGATCCTTCTGCCTTAGCCTCCTGAGTAGCTGGGACTACAGGCATGTGCCAGCATGCCTGGCTAATTTTTTCTATTTTTGGTAGAGACAGGGTTTCACTCTTGCTCAGGCTGGTCTCTAACTCCTGAGCTCAAACAAGCCTCCTGCCCTCAGCCTCCCAGAGTGTTAGGACTATAGGCGTGAGCCACCGCTCCCGGCCAGCTGTAGGAGTATTTTGTGAAACTCCTGAACAGTGCTCTTAAGTCGCGACTTAATATACTTTTTATAAGAGTTTAGGCCAAGAGCGGAAACCTTCCTGGCCAATAACTGGCCTCGGGAGTAAATGCTAAGAATTAATCCCTTTTATATTTTATAACTTGTGTACTTCTGAACCATTTATACTTTTGTAAGTTTGATACTTGTGGACCAAATGTGGCTTCAGAAAAGGGAGTCTGGTGTCAGTGCACCAAAGGCCACAAGATGGGGCTGTTGCTCAGTGAGAGTGGAAACCAATCTGGCAGCGCCCACGGTTTAAAGCTGAGTCTTTTAAAAAGCGAGGAATAGAAGATGGTCAGAATGCTTACGCTTTAGAACTTTCTATAGATACGACAGGTTGTGCTGGGTTTTCCACCACTCACAATTGAGCTTGATCTTTTTGTGCATGCATGTGGTGGATAAGGGAGGCTTGTTTTCTTTATAGATGTCATTTGGATCTCACTACTTGGCCCCAACTGTCCTCCTCCTTCCTACTTTCCCTTTTCTTTCTCCATTTTCCCCTATTCTCTGTCCCACCTGCCCATATTATAAAGTGAAGAATATTTCTTTATTCCTAGTATTAATTTTTTTAAACTATGAATAAAAATATTTTCGTTGCCCCTCTCCTGTCTCCTCCTCCGTATGTGCACACACATAGTGCACACACATACACATATGCACACACCCCCCTCAGTTGAGTTTTGTGAAGGTCAAGAGTCTCAACAGAAGAAAGGCTTTACTACTCTTGTTTTTGCAAGTACTTGCATTGTTTTTGGTAGTTCCTAATATGTTATCTCACACTATAGCATACAGATAAGAATTGGGGAAGAATATTTATTTATGTTATGGATAAATTGTATGCGATTTCTAGGTTTATTCATTAATTCATATAGCAAATTGTGCAAGGCTTTGGAGGATGCAGTAGTGAACAACGGGGATTTGAGTACCTTCCCTCCGAGAGCTGTGGGGAAACAGTGCAGGGGGAGATGCTCAGACGTCAGCAAGTACTGAGAGAGAGGAATGTCGCACAAATGGAGAGTCTGAGTGCATTGCAAAATACATGGTCAAAATGAATAATGTCAAATTAAATTGAGAAATAAGTGTACCTTTGTATTTTTCAGGTTCCAGAAACCAATATCTTGGGACAAATTGGACATGGCTATAAGTATGCCATAGGGGCCCTCAACAATGGTAGAATAGGAATTGCTGCACAGGTAAGTCCAACTGTAGCTCCTCCACCATGTGAGGCAATTGAAATGGAAAAGGAAGACAATCTTGTGAGACCAGTGAGTCTTTGAAAGCTGTGAACACAAGGTGGCGGCCTTCCCCCATGCGAGATGAAAGTGCTGCTTTGATTACCTTTCGGATTCTGTTGCGGTCATTTAGGAAGTGTCCAGGGAGCTAAACAGTGGCCTAGAGATGCGGTTTTTCTGCTTTAATGTATTGTTCAGCACTTCCACCAATAACTTCCAAAATGTATTGGAAATTTAAAATGGCATTTAAAAAATTAACTTTTTAAGGAAGGCCTGAAATTGATTCTGGAAGGAATTTTTAAAATTAAGAATATTTATTCTATTGTGTGGTCAGGATCTCTATTCTATAGATAATAAATAGATTTTGTTGATTGGTGTTTTGCATGTGAAAATCAGACAATGTTTTTTTTGGTGGCACATGAAATAAAAGAGCCATAGTTGAATAGATGTATAAGATGAGAACTATTTCTCTTTTTTTAACCAAATTTGCCCTTTATAATGCATATAGTATTTTTTCTATTAAGTGATATCAGTTTTCTAGACTAACAAAATGAATAATATCTTCGGTATTATTGTAAATTACATCATTTTTGTAGCGCATATTTATTTTTAATCAGTGAGTATCCAAAATTTAAGAACTTGTAGCTTTCAGATTTTGAAGATGTTACATATATATCAGCTGTTGGAATATACATTGGATTATCACTCTAGAGTTTTGATCTGCTGATCTAGAGTTTTGATCTAGAGTTTTTTTCTGCTGCTGTTATTCTGCCAACAAACTATTCTTAGATCAAAACTTAACCCAGGTTTCTCACAAAGTTATACAATATCTTATTAAAGAATATTGGCTTATCAGTTCTTTTTAAAGTTTTTCTGTGATTTAACTTGTTCAGATATGGCATTAAATACTACAGTAGTGGATCTCATTATTCCCAGACATATAAATAATATAGATGTTCTGGCAATAAAATACATGGCCTGAGCTTTAGTCTAATTACTCCAAGTTATCTTATAACCTAATTAAAAGTTAAGGTCAGGTAGTTACTGTGTCTCGGTGGATGCCTTTTGGAAGAGGAGGGACATCGAATATAACAGTGAACTGAAGGCGTCTGTCCTCAAAACTTTGCACTCAGAATTTAGTTTTTCGGTATTTATAATGGAAACATTTTACTCAGATGGGAAAGCCTATTTTAACTGACAACTGATAATGTCAGTCTTCATATTAAAATAGGGTGTTATTTACATATTTTAAACTTAAATTGTAAGAGTATAGTGACATCATCTTATCTCATAGGCAAAAGATCAATGAGTCTGCTGCCTCATGTTAATTTGGGATTTGTGGGAAGGGAGAGTTGTCCCTTTAATTTTTAACTTAATATTCTATTTTTGGGAGTTCCAAATAAAAGGCTGAAAGAAAATGTGAATGAACACTAATGAAATATTGATGAGTTTGTGGGCATTTCCCCCAAAAGCTTTAACTATTGATTTTTTTCTTTTTCTAAAACCTACATAGTTTGACATAATTAGATAGTGATTTAATAGCTGCCTAATGTTGAAATTTAGGAACCATTTCTAAGCTTGAGTTGTTCAATAGAGATGGAAGTTAGTTAGCAATGAGACAGTTTAGCTAAAATTGTCACCGTGTCCTGATTTGTTCTTCAAGTGTGTAAATTAATGTTTTTACCACTTGTTCTGTCTCTCTTTTTCCTTGAGACAGAGTCTCACTCTGTTGCCCGGGCTAGAGTGCCATGGCATCTGCCTAGCTCACAGCAACCTCAAACTCCTAGGCTCAAGTGGTCCTCCCACCTAGTCCTCTCAGAGTGCTAGGATTACAGGCATGAGCCACCACATCGCCACCAGTTGTTTTCTATCAGTTGTTCACAGTCCTAACTGTGCATTAAATCACTGAGGAGTTTTTAAAATGCTGATGTTTGGGCCACACTCCCCAACTCTCTACTCCCAAGATCTGGATTCTGTTGTTAATCCCAGGTTTCAGTATTTTTTAATCAAGTTCCCCAGATGATTCTAATGTGCAGCCAGGGTTGAGAAACGTTGCTCTCACGTGTTCTGATGCCCTTGCCTGAAAGTCTTAGTAATCCTAATCATATACAAAATGGACAGGAAGGTAGAAGGTTAAAAAGTGACCGTCCACATTTTACTTCTAGGAGAACTGGGGGAAGCTATTATTCTGTAGTCTCTGAGGCCAATTCTGAGTAAAACTTTTGTGGCTTACTTTTATGCCTGGTTAAAGAAGATGCCTAAAATGCAGTCAGGTTGTGTGAACATAGCCTTGCTTAGATATTGACCTCTATGCTAGAATTAAATATGCTCAAAAGAAATCACTCAAAGTTTTCCCCAATTGTCAGAAGTTCTTTTGTACAAATGCAGTGGGTGACGATGTGTTATTGACACACACTTCACCACCTCAACCTCTCCAGTTCTTCCCTTACCTCAACTGTTCAATTTATGTGTAAAAGCAGTTTACAACTTGGATAATTAAAAGCATAAACTTGTAACAAAATAAAAAAATCTGATCTTTTATTTTTTTAACAGATGCTGGGGCTGGCCCAAGGATGTTTTGACTACACTATTCCATATATTAAAGAAAGGGCACAATTTGGCAAAAGAGTATTTGACTTCCAGGTATGTAATTATTAGGCCCTTTCTACTGTACTGGATCCTCCCAGCTTCCTGGAAATGCAAAGGCTCGGAGGGAATCGCCTCAAGAGGATTTTAATGGCAGAGGGGTGGGGAGGACGAAATAGGCCTCGGGGAGTATACTTGGGAATGCCTTGATCTTTTCAGAAAGCGGGAGACGGTAGTCCTGGAGGCCCAGCTATGGCAGGATGCAGGATATCTTGGTGAGCACTATGGCATCATTACCTCACTGCTTCGGAAGCTCCAGGGTATGGTGTCTGGAGTCAGATTTCCTGGGTTCAAACCTGGTTCTTCCACTTATTAGCTTTAGGCCATAGGCAAGTTATCTTGCCTCTCTAAGTTTCATCTGCCTCATCTGTAAAATACTACTACTACTTGTCCTATTTTAAATTAGGTATGTATAAGGTGTTTCACACATTGTTTGAGTATAACAAGTGTTCAGTAAATACTAACACTTGTTCTGAGTCCCTGTTTAGTCCACAGCCACGTGGTAATCCTCAGAGGACTATGCTTTGGCACATCTTATAGAAGAACCAGTTTGCTGCAGTAAATGCAAATGAGATTTGATCAGCCAAGCATATTCGGAAATACTGGCCTGGTCCAGCGACGCAGCTTCTTCTCCTCGGGTAATCGGGATTCCTTGCTGGCAATGGCATTCTTCCTGTCCATGCAGATGTCTTGCCAAGGTAGCAGCAGCCTGGAATGGCAGCTCACCAGGCCTTTTAAACAACCTGAAGCATGTCACTCTAAAATTCCAGAATAATTACTTTACATGGTTGCAAACCTCCTTTCAAGCAGCTCTAGGTTCCAAGCACAATTTCTTATTACACTACCAGCTCTGTTGTGCTGCATTGTCTTCAAGTTCATAATAATGATGAGTATGTTCAAACTGTGCACGTATAGAGATACCAGGCTATGCACATGCACAGCCAGTTCAAGACCCAGAAGGACTGAGTGCGGCAGGCCTGGCCAGTGCCTACCACAGCCCATACTATCATCCCCATCTTATGCGTGGGAAACTGAGACACGTGGAGTTTGAGTTCCCACGGTCACATAGCTAGTATGGTACCAAAATTACAGGTTTGTGTCTTGGCTCCTGGTCTAATTTTCATTTCATTAGAGTACTTGCTCAGAGCCAGCTACCACAAAGATTGAGATGAAAGGGACAGAATGTAGAGACAGTTTTGAGAGTTTTTTACCTCTCTTGTACACAGGAAACTGCTTCTGTGTATGCCTATAGAGAGAGAGATAGGTCAGGTATACTAATAGGTATAATCATAATGACATTTTCAGAGATGCCTAGTGTGGATAATTTAAAGAAAACTTGGAAATTTGATCTTAAAAAGCAACATTATTAACTATGTGAAGCTTTGGTTAAAGTTAGTAGGGTTTTTTCTTAACAACTTTATCTCATTGGGGTGATTTGGTTTTTGTTTTGCATGCGTTCGTTCTGGTCTTTCTCACCTCTAGGCTACAAGGTCCTTGAGGGTATGGACCAGGCCTGTTCATCTTATTTCTTTCAATTGTTTATTCAGCATAGATTTATTGAACATGTCTGTGCCAGGCCTTGTGTTCTCAACGTAGTTAGGGAACCAGTATTCAGCAATAGTGAGTTCTTATAGAGCAGGAGACATGCCTCACTCACTTTTCTCATGGTACCTAACGTGGTAATTGGAATAAACAACATGGATGGTGTCTGTATGAATTGAACTGAACGAATGTAGTTTGCAAAAAATAATCAGAATCTCTGAATTCCATATAAAAAGCCATAAAAAATTTCTAGAACAGTGACATTGGCATAGAAATAGACAAATTAACTGATGGAACAAAACAAGCCAGAAATAGACGCACATATGTATACAAATTTGATATATGACAGATATGGCATTGCAGATCACAGAATTGGGAATATTCTTTCCTTGGGGATACAAATGAAACTATATCCCTACCTCACACCATATAGAAAATAGATTTCTGCTGTAAAGACATAATGTAAAAAGCAAAACTTTAAAATTTTTAGGAGAAAATCTATATAACCTCATGATAGGAAAGGATTTTGCAAACAAGACACAAGAAGTACTAATGATAAAGATAGGATTAGTGATAAAATTGGTAAATTTCTTTTCCTTAAAAGATGCTGTAAAGTGACAAGACAAATCAGAAGGGTTTACTCTGCACATAGTTAAATGGGTATTTAGTTTATTATTATGCTTCATAACCTTCATAACAAACATGTTTTTTATATATATCAAATTTTTGTACATATCAAATAGAAAGAGAAGGAGAAGAATCTATAGAATATTTATGAACAGTATTGTTTTTCTCGAGCTTATTCCTCCATTTTTTAAAAAGGCCACTCCTGGGATTATTGTGTGATTGACTTAATCAAGATTCTCTATCTTAATAACATTCATCACACATTATTATAATTATTATCTGCTCTCCCCACTGGACTGTATGGATCATGAAAACAAGTAATTGTGACTATAATGTTCGGTGTGATTTCTCCACCGCTCCACACAGTGCCTCGCATGCCATAGCCGTTTGGTAAATATCTGAGAGGATGGATAGACGGGTTAAACATGAGAAACATTTCGGTTTGCAGTAAATATCAGTGCCTATTATTTCCAAGAAATTGTTTATAACTATAAATGTTAATATCTGTATTCTCACTAAGTCAGTTTCTTTCATTGACAAACATTGAGTATGCACCTAATCACCCTCAAAAATTTCAGGGTGGGAATGATTGGTGCTTCAAATATTCCTTCATTACCTTACAGGTAACATCTGTACAAAATCAAAATTTTCTTAATTCAAGCAAATAAAGAATATATTCAAAGTTTTGCTGTGCAGGGATTTAGCTTAAACTCAATTTTGATCATAAAGAGTTAAAAATAATTATTAAATATAACAGTGAAATCTTTAAACTTTGTGATAATTTTTTAAATCTTGACAATTGTGAAGAAATATGTGGACTCTGAAATGTTTCTAAGAAAAGAGGGTTTAACAATAATTGTAGTGTCATATTTCATTTTAGATTGCAGATTTTTAAGTACTTTAAATAAATGAATGTGGATTTCCTTTGGAGTATATTTTGAGCATGTCAGTGTTGTGTGTCCAGGCAGGACTTTGAGGATGAGTTGCTTTTTAGAAACCATAATTCTCTAATGTGGTCCTGAATGTTAATAGGGGCTTCAACACCAAGTGGCTCTCGTGGCCACCCAGCTGGAAGCTGCGAGATTGCTAACGTACAACGCTGCTAGGCTTGTAGAAGCTGGAAGGCCATTCATAAAGGAAGCATCTATGGCGAAATACTATGCATCAGAGGTAAAAAAAATATGATACAATACAACACAAACAATAACAGTAATTAAGGATTATAATTTATCCTTCTTTTTCTTTCCCAGATATGTTGTTAACCTTTTCACTTAGGAACGTTGATTGAGTTTTGATTGTTTTTCAAGTACAATAACATGGACTTTTCCAGTTCCTATAATAGAAAAGCAAAAATGTAAAGCTGCCATAGGAAAATGCTTTCACTCTGTGAGGTCTCAGTGTTTTCATGAGTAGCCCAGATCAGATAGACCAGCCACTGCAAATCCATGGTGGAGCTTCCTCTCAGTGATGGTCTGGTGCCCATTGCTTCAAGTTAGGGCAAAGCGAATGCCGTGGAAGGTGATGTCTTCATAATGTGAGCGAATGAGGTTAAAAATACCGAGGAAAAACTGTTTTTTTTAAATACTTTCTACTCATATGGACGCATTTTATATTTAACTCATTAGACTTTGGCCAGAGAATTTAGCCAAACCATTGGGCAGCTGTTTCCTAGCCTCAATGGTATGTTTTAGACACTCCATGGCTTTAAATACTCATTCAGCCTCTCCAGCCCCTGAATTTCATCTCCTGCCTCAACTTCCCTTCTGAGTTCCAGACTAATATACCCAGCTTCTGCTTTGCCCACCCACCCAGTGCACCCTCAGAACCTTAGCGTCATCCTGGCGTCCTCCTTTTCCTCATCCCCCACGTTAAATCCGTCCTCAGTCCCTGTGGATTCTACCCCCAAAAGATTTCCTGAATCAGTGTATTTCTCTCCTTCTCTGCTGCCACCTGTCTCGTCCAGCGGCATCACTTCTTGACTGAACTCCTGCAGTCACCTCGCTGCCCTCTTGGCCCCGGTCGCTCCCTCCCACACAGTCTCCCCTGTCACAGTGTCCGTGAGGCCACGGCACTCTCCAGCTTTAAACCCGTCGGTGGTCTCTCGCAACAAATGGAACTATGTATTAGATTGCTGTCTCCGCTGTAACAGATTACCAAAAATGAGGTCACTGTAGCTGTAGAGTTTTATTCTCTCTCACTTCTGGATGTCAGAAGTCTGAAGTGGGTGTCACTGGAATAAGATAAAGGCATCCGCAGGGCTGCCTGTGTGGACCTTCTAGGGAGAATCCGTTTCCAGCTTCTAGAGCCCGCTCGCATTCCTTGACGCGTAGCCCCTTCCTTCATCTGAAGCCAACAGCGCGGCATGTTCGCGTCTCTGCTCTGCTCCCTGCCTTGCTTCCACGGGGCCTTCAATGATGTACTCCTCCCTCTTGCCCCTTTAAGGACATTTGTGATTACCTTGGGATAACCAGGATAACCACCCCATCTCAAGGGCCCTACCGTAATCACATCCGCAGAGTCCCTATTGCCACACAGGGTGGCATGTTTGCAGTTTCTGGGGATTAGGATGTGGACGTCCTTGAGGGGCCATTGTAATATTCAAACGCTCACCACTCGGCGAGCTTGGCCTGCCCTCCACTCTGTTTTCACAGCTCACTGCGATCCCAGCCACAGGCTCACTCGCAGGGCCTTGGGGACAAGGAGCCCACTCTCCCCTGGAGCCTGACCTCATGTTCCTCGGCTTGAAATGCCCCCAGCTCATCCTTTAAGTCTCAGCTATGCTATTAATCCCGCAGCTATTCCGCCATCTATATCACGTCAAGGCTCCCAACAAGCTCTCCTTTCATCCCAGGCCGTTTATCAGTTTCTGTGCTTGTGGTTTAATGTCTCTCAGTGGCCACCAGGACCGATGGGGCAGTGACCAGCCACTCCACCATTGCGTGCCCGGCGGCTGGCAGAGTGTGGGGCATAAAGAAGGCCCTGGATAAATGCTCCCCAAATGAACAGCTCCTCTCAGCAAGCACATAGTGTGAACACTACTCTAATTTTCTTAAGAAAATGGGAATTTTGTGAATTAATAGGATATTTTACAGAAATGATATAGAAAATAGGACTACAGAGACAGTGCTAGTTTATAAAATAACTTCATTCCTTCCAGTTCCCAATACCAGTAAATCCAGGTTGCTAAAAATGTTACACAGAAGTGTTTAGAATGCATAAGTTCTGTGGTTTCAATGTGTGATTTGCTTCTTATTTTTGTAGATTGCAGGGCTAACAACTAGTAAATGTATCGAGTGGATGGGAGGAGTAGGCTTCATCAAAGATTACCCTGTGGAAAAATATTTCCGAGATGCAAAGATTGGTAAATAGGTTATTTTACATTTTATTTAATTTATTTGCCTCTTTAGGTGTTTTGGCTATTTTGTCAATTTTATATAATAGTGCTGGTACCTAGATAAAGGCAATTTTAATCTCTTCAGTAGGTGTTTATTGGCTTTCTTGTTTTCTTGTTGCTGGGTTTTTCCTTATCTCTTATTTAATAAAAGGCGGGGGTTGTTTTTAAAAACATCAAATTGCCTTTTAAAATACTTTAACAGGCTTTTCAGTAAAACTACAAGAAAATCTATCTTAATTTTTTTAAATTTTAATATTGTATGATTAGTGTATGGGCTTTAACACCAAGTGGCCCTCGTGGCCACCCAGCTGGAAGCTGCGAGATTGCTAACGTACTACGCTGCTAGGCTTGTAGAAGCTGGAAGGCCATTCATAAACAGTTTAAGGCTGTTCTTTGAGGAATCATTCTAGTGTCAGAAGCTGAGTGTCTAATAAAGCCTGAGCAGTTCAGCTCCATGACTAGATAGGAAAATAACGACAGCTCCAAAAGCTACCTGTTCCTTAATGACAGTCTGAGTTTATGTGTTAATAGTTTGAGAATCAGAATTGCCAACTATTTAATACTGATTCTGGACATGTATAAGCCAAATGGAAGATTGTCATCTCTTAGTCAAAATTACTTTGTCAAATAGTACCATAGTCAGGGGACATTGAATGATGTTGCTAGTAACAGTTTTATAGCATGCAGAGGTAACATGCATAAAGCTATTTCTTATATAGACTTTTAACTGTGGTTCCACTCCCAATTGTTCCTTTTGCCCCCTTTTGTTTAAGGTGCAATATATGAAGGAACTTCCAATATTCAGCTGAACACCATCGCGAAGCTCATCGATATGGAATACTGACATCCCTAGGAATGGGACTTCAGGTGTCGCTGTTGTAAAATTTTAAACTCTTGTGCCTTGTTGGAGAAGTAAAGCTCCAGAGCATTGAAATATTTTATTTAAGCCCTTAGTTGTGGTCTTGGGGACAGGCCTTTTAGATTTTACTGTTTCAGTCTGCTTAACTTAGACACAGGAGATCATTTTTTTAAATTTGGGAAGACAAGCACCCATATTTTCTCCAAAACTGGTTTTAAAGTTCTATACATATTTATAATATCACTCTAGTTTCAGAGAATAGAGAAGTTTCACCTCATCAGCATTTGGGAAAATAAAGACATTCAAAGTACTGAATTACTTATAGAAATAGTTATTTTATATTCCTATTAAATCTTTATCATGTGGCATCAGTCAGAGAAACATTTGTTATAGGAGGCAATTTTTACTTAATACTCTTTTCAATTCTAAATGGCTAGATGAGTTTTTAAACTAAATAAAAATTTATTTAGAAAAATCTAAAAATTCTAGTTTTAAATATGAGAATGGGTGGAAAATAAGCATATAACTGTGTAGGTCATATAATTGAAGAAAACCTTATTTTAACAAAGTAAATAAAACAATATCATTTGTTACTATGATTGATCTTTATAAAAGATGCAGTCCATGATGGCTTCAGCAGGTCATTTTAAAAATAAGTCTCTACATTAGTTTTCAAGTATAAAGTTTAATTTGTTTTAATAATCAGAAAATGCTGTACTGTATTGTAATAATCATTCTATTATGTGCTATTTTTCAATAGTACAATTTTTTTCTGTATTTTAATTGAAACAGTATATTTCCTCAAACTTGGTTATTGACCTTTATCCTGAATAGTAATTCAGAAATTGGCTTTTGGTTCAGTTGTTGCCCATAAGGAAGGGTATCAGACTCTCACAAGGAATGGGGGGAGAGTTGTAGAGTTTGAGGAAGCATATTTATTCTCATTTATATTTGGGAAGGCAAAAATAAACCTATTGTTTTACAATACAAATTATAAAATAGGCAAAGCTTAATAAAATGTATAGTTGGCAATGCCACCTCTTCAGTGTTAAAGAACAAGAGACCCCATTGAGGGTACAGATCCAGAGTCCCCTCAGGAGCAAGGCAGATAACAGAGGAGTTTTTATGTATTCTGGACAGGGGCCATGGGTTAGAGATGAAAAATGTCCCAAAGCTCCTTCAGTGGCTTAAAATAATCATTGCTGTTAAGTGGGAAGCATTTTAGTACTTTAATGAAAGGATGTTTATTAAGAAAACCTGACATTTTCAAAGTAATTTTGCTTTGCTCACTCATGTTTATTGAATTGGATTAATTTCCACAATGCAAATCATAGTTAAACATTCAAAATTGCATAAATACAATTGAGATAGGAATTACATTAAAATATTAGGAAGAAATAAGGACAAGTTTAGACCTTGAATCCAAAGAGATAAAGTCTACTTGACTTTCAAATAGGGAGATGATGAAAACCCACTCATTCAGTCTTTCAGAACAAAAAGACAGTAATCTGATAAGAAAAGTAGGGGACGGATGAAATGCCCTACAGGGGCCTTAGACAGCTTTAATTTCGGTGATTATGTGAAAGAGGTGGTCTTTACAGATGATGAAGTGGAAGCTGACGCTAGTAGAAAGAATCCCAACTTCTTCCTATGGAATTATAAACATGCAAAAGTACAATAAACCTCGTGTTCAAATTAGCAGTATCAAAGAGCCTCCCACATACATCGGACCTTGAATTAACATTTAGAATTGATAAAAGTTTTAATTTTGTGTACATATTTTGTGCATGTTCACAAAGAACACTTAAAATTAATTATATTATGTATTATATTTGGTCATTAAATATGAAATGTCCGATTTTGAATCAAAAGTGTGGTTTATAATATTTCAAACAAGAACCAGTACAGTTAATCAAATTATGTGCCTAAACTGTTGACACAGTTTTGCCATCTTAACGGTAGCTTGTTTATGCCAGCAGCGACAAAACCTGGAGAGCCAGTGGCGATGAAATAATGAAAGGCATTTTCCACAGCTTATTGAGAATTGAATATTTTTCCCTGCAAGAAGTGGTCCAAAGCCTTGAAGAAGTGGTAGTCAGTTGGTGCACGGTCTGGTGAATTCGGTAGATGACAGAGAGTTTCCAAGTCCAGTTTCTGTAGCTTGAGCAGCGTTGTTTGTGCAACATGTGGACAAGCATTGCCTTGCAAGAGGATTGGCCTGCCTTTCTTGACCAGGCTCGGCTGCTTAATCACAAGCATCCTCATCATTCCATACAGTTGGTTGCAGTAGACATCCGCTGTATCAAATGACCAGGTTTCATGAAGCTGTAGTGGATAATACCAGTGCTGGACCACCAAACAGACACCATTAGCTTTTTTTGATTAATATTCAGTTTTAGGCTGTGTTTCGGCACTGCATCTTTATCCAGCCATTGGACTACAGTGTAGAAACAGTTCACCTTTATGTTGTGACAGCAAAGAAAGGCAAGTTTCAAGGCGATTTCTGTGCTGACGTTCATTTAATTCATGCGGAACACCCATGTATCCAGCTTTTCTATCTTGTCAATTTGTTTCAAATTGTTGGAATAGTAACATCAAACCATGCCGCTAATTCACAAGTAGGTTGAGATAGATTCGCCTCCACTACAGCTTTCAGCTCATCATTATTCGCCTTGGTCTCAGGTCGCCCATGTGGCTCATTTTCAATATTAAACTCACCATAATGGAACTTCTCAAACCATCGACGTATCGTGCATTCATTAGCCACTTCCTTCCCAAACACTGTTGATATTTGGAGGTGTCTGTGCTACCTTGGTTCCATGATGGAACTCATATTTGAAAATAACATGAATTTTTGACTTACCTGTGGTTTCACAAAAATTGCTCTTAAAAAAATGTGAAAGATAATCACAAGTCAAAACATGTGTTTGAAATACTGAGGATGTACCCTTCACAATAAAAATAAAACAAAAAGTGTCAAAGAGAAATAAATGTGAGAGATATCAGCTGTCAAACTTAGTACTTAGGGAAGTCGGACATTTCATACTTAATAACCTAATACTATATGCATGCACCTTCTTCTGTTAGTGAATCAGTGAATGGTGAAATGTGTTATTTTACCAAAGAGGATGTTGTGGATTTTCCTTGTAGTTCTTTCATTATTACTTGTCTTCTGGTACTCATGACTTTGAACTCTTTAACGCTATCTTGAATTTGAGGCGGGTGGAGAACCAGTGCTTTGCCTCCTGAAGCCTGTTATCATTTTTGTTACTTTGAGGATCGGGCTGTCCTGGGGCTCAGAAAGGAAAGAACTGTTTAAGCAGACTTGCGTGGGCAGAGCTAGACTCCACCCACCTGCCAAGTCAGTATTGTTAGAGATTTCATTTTACAACGCAAAAATGAATGAGCATCAAAGATTTTAGAATCATGGAAAGTTAAACCTGGAAAGACCTTAGTGAACCATCCAGCTGACTCTTTCATGTTAAAAGTGAAGGATTCATAGCTTAGATGACTTGCCCAAGATCATCCGTCCAGGGGCAAAGACAAGAACCCAAATGCACTTCCCAATTCAGTGTTCTTCCTATTATTAAAGATGGTTTCTGTTCAACGCATTTTTAATTTCATCCTCATATTTCATTACTCTTGCTGATTTATGTTTAACTGATAAAGAGTTAACATTTCAGAAATGTTGTGATTGACCCATGTCATTGCTTACATGTATGAATCACTTGCCAAAGATCCTGGCATTTAGTGGCTCTCCTAGGCTACTATGTCAAATGTGAAGATTATTGTGTGATCGTTTGGTTTCATTATTCTGATGTATTTTATAAATGCACTATCCTTGCCAATGTATTTTTGCTGCTCTTTCATAAGGTGGAAGTTTTGTTTTAATGGTATATATTAGGCTGTATTCAGTGTTATAAAACCACTATTGTATGGAGAATGAAAAAATAAAGCACGAAATTAACTGGAGCTTTGTGCTACTCTTGAAAACAAAATTGTTTGTTATACATACAGATGAAGTAAGAAAATAATGTAATCTTCCTGCAAGATAGATACACCTTTGTTTACCAAGCCAATAGCTTGCCTCTTATGTAAGCCAATTTTGTTTTCAGAGAAGAGGTCTTATAACGTAGACCAAGTTTAAATTCATGATGCTAAAGAAAATTTTGCCAGAGGACTCTTTTTTTTTAATGACAAAATAAGCAGCTCTTCAGTAGAGAGGTCATCTCTTTTGAGCACATCCTCACGGTACAGATAGATATCTGGCTGATATTTATGCCTGTACTTTATAGTATTACTTTTGGAAATTTTATATATTGCACTTTTTACTCAGTGATCCACTGCAGTCTAAAGCCATAGAAGATTTCATCTTGTCTGTTCCCCATTATTTTCTACATTATTTTAGAAATCTAGATATCAGTCCCCTTTTTTTTTTCTTTGTCATTCAGCAACATGTACTGAGTGGTTGCCACATCCAAGGTGCTGTGGGCTCTGAGCCACCATGCAAAGATGAATAAAAACAGCTCATTTATATGTGAGCCTATCTCAGGTGTCTTTTGTCTGCTCTCATTAGTGTATCCTCACAAAAAGATTGAGTAGAAAACTACCAAGGTCGCTCCTATGCAGAAGTATTTCTTTAGGTCCATTAGGATGATAACAATGAGCACTAATATCTCTTGGGCTCTTACTGCGTGCTCGCCATTATCCTACACTTGTGGCGCACAGTAACTCATAGCAGCCCTACCAGGTAGGTGCTCTTGTCTTCCCTCTTTACAGGCAAGGAGACTGAGGCAGAGAGGTTGCATAAGGTGCTTACTGGTAGATGGCAGAAATGAGACTCCGACGCTGGCGGTCTGATGCAGGCCCTCCCAGATTCATTCCTTTAGGTCTGTAAGGCTTATCTTCAGGAGCCTTCCATTAAAATGCCACCACCAACCAGCCCTTAATTAGTTAGTAATTCTTCATGGATGAGTTTCAGATCTTTTCAAGCAGAGAAACGAGCTGAGAACGGGGCATGTGACACAAACGCATAGGTGTGGTGGCAGTGTGTGTGTCTTGGGAGAGGGTAGGTGGACAGGGCAATAGAAGATGCAGTTAGAGGGACGAGGAAAGTACTGAAAAGGGAACTAAGGAGATACCCCCCAAAATTTCATTCCCTTTAGAGTTTCACATGGGACTGCCGTGTGCTGTGTTTGACTCTTGATCTGAAAAAACAACATTTTTAAAAGAAAATAATAGTTAAAGGCTGCCTTTAAAGTGGGGAAAATGACAAAAAAAATCATGACAGAAATCTGAGTAACTACTACAGGGTGTTTGATTTGCAATTATTTGTACAGATAGCTCACAAAAAAAGATCTGACTTTATAATGTTTTTTAAAAGAACTGGTAAGTGGGAAACAGAATAAGATGGGAATATAGCCAAACATAGTAGCATTTGTAATTGCAAATCAGTTAAACTCACCTGTTAAAATATCAAAAATGTTCAGATGGGGCAAAAGACAAATTTTAAATCCCAGCTACATAAACTTAGAAACACTTGAAACAAAACAGCATGGGATAGGGGTGGAGGGAGTTGAAATAAAGAGATGGGGAAAGACCATACAAATGCTACCAAAAGGGAAAACCTGAGTAGCGATGTTAATACCTAACAAAACTGAATTAAAGGCAAAAATAATTTTAAAGGATATCTCGTAAAAAGGAAGAGTTTTCCAAGAAGGTCCAATAGTCATGAACTTTATGTCCCTAACAACATAACTGGGAACTATATAGAGCAAAACAAATAGAAATACAATGAAAAAAATTGACAAAGCCATAATCATAGGTGCTGACTTAGAAATCAACAAGTCAAGTAGAAGGTAAAAACAGACCTAGAGGATTTGGATAGTGTAATTAACAGGCTTGATATAGAGAGAGCTTTTTTGTTTCTCTTCAAATGCAAATGAACAGTCATTAGAATTTTGTCTCAAAAGAAATGTCAAAAAATTCTAAAAAGACTAAATTTTCCAGGCAGTATTCACTACGCACAATGATATGTAAATAAATGGCAAAAAGGTAGAATATAAAAAAGCTAACCATAACTTTAACCTGGATTAATTAAATGAAAGTATAAATTACAAATTGTCAACCAGGATGTGACAAGCCCAGCTAGCCTCGCTGTCTGGGACATCCAGGGCAGCACAGTTTGTGGTGGTGAAATATTCGAAACGGCTGCGTAGGAAAATTAGTACACATGACAGCAGGTTAAAAGAATAGGGTAAATCCACGTATGCAGATGAAATCATGCACAAGGCATATGGCTTACGGAGATAATAAACCCCACAGTATTTGTGTAGAACAGTACAAAGCTATGTATATTTCTTTAAGTACAAACAGGTATAAAAATTCTTAGAAGAAACTTGGGAAGTGTGGCCACTATCCCAATCACTACACTTCACTTTGAGGACCTGTGCTGGGCCTGGGGGTGGAGAAGGAGGTCGTGGGGGTCACTGGCACCCTCTGTATTGTTTGAGTTTTTATAATGGGAAAGTATTCTTATATTGCTTGTGTGATTGGAAATAAATAAAATTAAAACTACCTATAGGATCACTGAAATCTTTATTTTCGTGCATCGTTTTCCCTTTAACTGATTTTTCTGCTTTTCTCAAATAGCCACAGTAAAGTAGGCAGCTCCATTCAGCCTCATGGGAGCCTAGACTCACAGGAGAGCAGGGAAAAGAGATCTGAAACCTAATCCCTTGGAGGTTTGGCCTCCGTAGGGAAATAATGCCGTCCAGCTGTGAATGCCTGTCCTAACTAAGCCCAGCGGTATGCAGCTTGCTGCATTCAGGGACAAACAGGGCCATTTGCACCGGCCTTGGGACTACTACGG